GATACCCGATCAACATCTTCCTCCTCTTTCTGAGGATCCTCTGATGCCTCATCCTCCTGCAAAAGGAGAAGAGAGTGCCCACGCCCAGAGTCCCAGGCATTCCAAACCAGCGAGAACCAGATAATGGACAGTATTCAGAGCTAATCTGACCCTTAGAGGAGCTATTAGAGGGAGAACTTTGCAGGGGGTTCTCCCTACCTGATAGAAGGGATTTGGGAGCCCACCCATTTTTCCTTTCCCCCCCTCTTACCTGTGCAAGTCCACTGCTTGCTGAGGGTTCATTGACTTATAATACCCTATAGAGGAGTGGCCTCCCAGCTGAGAGGAGTGTTGGCCCAAGTCGGAACACCTAAGTGGCAAGACACGCCAATACAGATAAGAGTGCCAATACTTGCTGTGCCCTGGCACTGACTGTGCTGTAGGCTGCTGCAGCTGTGCAGGGGATGAGGCTGAGAGCAGTAAAACCTCTGCAGCTGTAATGTTCAGAAGTGCAATCACAGGCTCTTCGATTATATGTAGCTGCTTCTAGGAAGCCGGAAACTGGTGTTTGAGCATGCGCAGTCACACAAAGTGACATCATCATGCACATGCTGATCCATCTCATTGAAACACTGCTACTGTGGTGTAGTGCTAAGTGTAAGCTAAGCCTAGGTTGCCCCTCAAATGTCTGTCAGCGGAACTCCTCTGCGGGAAAAACAAAAGGAATACTAAGGGAAAATTTCCACTTACTCCACCATCAAAGGAACTAATGGCAAATGGGCCCTTCATTGGATCACTGTCCCCAACCCAAAAAGCACCCTGACAGCAAGTTCACCTGGCTCATTGTACCCTGGAGATTATGCTCATACGATCCAGTCCCAACTGGCAAGCTTACAGGCCATTTCTTGGCCTGCAGGCTGTAGGCTACCGTTTAGCAGGGGTGTGGAAATTTTTGAAAAAAAACTACTTGTCCAGGGACTAATCCTGATAACATTTTTTTTTTTTTACCAAACCCATATTTAAATCGGAGGTGATTTTAGGAATGTTGGGTATTTAAAAACAAAAGAGGCTTTATAGCGACTTACACGTGTAATATGTTTAACATTGCGCTGTTTATCTCCTCCAACCCTCCCTGCCTCTCTCCAGCACTGCAACCGGGAACTAGCAGGGAGGAGAGACCTTGCAGTGTAATGAGCACCGATTGGGTGCTCCTTAGGAAAGGGAGGGTCGGGGCTTATAATTTATCCCTTTCGCTGCCAGAGACATATTTGCATTTTTTTGCACACGTTTAAAAAAATCATTTTAGGCCTGAAGATTACATAAAACCCCAAAACAGGATATATTTTCTGAAAGCAGAGATCCTAGAGAATAAAACAGTGGTAGTTCCAATTTTTTACATCACATGATATTACCGCAAAATTTTTGTAAGAAGTACAAGTAAGTTAATTTTACGGCACAAAAAAAAAGCAATACATTCCCCTATTTTTTTTGTAAAATATAAAAGATGAGGTTGCACCAAGTAAATAGATAACCAACTTGTCAAACCTTAAATTTGTGCGCGCTCGTGAAATGGAGGCGAACTTCAGTACCCTATATTTTCTATAGACGACACATTTAAAGCTCCTTATAAGTCTCCTAGATTGTAAGCTCCAAGGAGCAGGGCCCTCCTTTCCCTCTTGTATTGAACTGTATTGTCTCCCATTATATTGTAAAGCACTGAGCAAACTGTTGTCGCAATATAAATCCTGTATAATAATAATAATATGTCACCAGCTTAGTGTTACGGAGGAGGTCTGGTGCTAGAATTATTGCTCTTATCCCAGCATGCGCGGTGATATGCAACATGTGTATTGCAATCAACGGTTTCATGCATAGGCACCCCAGCGGGTGTGTTTTACATTTGTACGTGTGTATATGTGGGGATGGGGGCCTTTTTTCTGGGGGGATGGTATGTGCTTGGGTGTAACTTTCATTTTTTTACAATAAAAAAAAAAAAATTTCCATCACAAAGTCCCCTATGTGATGATTTTTGGTGACAGGTTCTCTTTGAGACATCCAAGGTCTAAAAGACCCTGCATGGCTCCCCTCTGCTCCACTGAATGTAATGTGATGCACATCTGCACCAAATTACATTCATTCCTGGGGATTGTATTACAATCTCTCAACGGGGACCTGGAAGTGACATCGTAAACATATCTTTCGGGTCAGCACAAGAAGGGGAGGGGAGTGGACTTGTTTGCTCTTCTCCCTCCTCTCTAGCCGATGGCGAGCCGGGCCCACAGATAGGCAAGGGGAGCCTGAGAAACCTCACATCAGGGGTGCGGAGAGACTGGCACTGTGTGAAAGCAATCGGCGGCAGCGCTGCCGCCGACTGCTTCACCTGACAGGTGAGCCTGCTGCTTGCCCGCAGCAGGGCTAAAGGAAGAGAAAAACTACCTGCCCAGCTCTCTATTTTGCATGTGTAGCTCAGTGTACATGCAAAAGCATCTTGCAAGGATGAGTGCAAGACGTGTATGCTGAAAAAAGATCTATGAGTTTATGTATAAAATGTTTGCTGTGCCTATATGGCAAACATCCAGACAAAATTGCTGTAGTATCTCTAATATGTGTAGTTCCTATATCGTCAGCACTACCTAGTGGCCAAAATGCCTTTTCCCCCTCCCAGAAATTCCTCAGGAAACAAAAGCATTTTGTGGCCATGAAATGGAGATGATGGTGATGATGATATAGGAACCATACATAATAGAGGAAGTACAGCAATTTTCATCCTGACTGTGTGGATGTTTGTCGCATTCGCAAAACATATGTTTTATACATTGACCCTATATTATGTCTCTATCGCAATAAAAAAATCCTTCTGCTTCAATATGCATGGGCAAATCATACACTTTCCATAGGATCTAGAACAAAGTATTTAGCTATGCACTGTCACATTCCAAGCAATTGTTCACAAAAGCAGGCTGCAAATCTTCAGATCAACGTTTACCAATAACCGTATAGAGCAACAAGTTACCCCTTTAACCACTAGCCTACCGGGCACTTTCACCCCCTTCCTGCCCAGGCCAATTTTCAGCTTTCAGCGCTGTTGCACTTTGAATGACAATTGCACAGTCATGCAACACTATACCCACATGAAATTTTTATAATTTTTTTGAGACAGATAGAGCTTTCTTTTGTTGGTATTTAATCACCTCTGGGTTTTTGATTTTTTGCTAAACAAACCAAAAAAAACAACAGAAAAATTTGAAAAAAAAGTTTTTTTGGTTTTTTTCTTAGTTTCTGTTATAAAATTTTGTAGATGAGTAATTTTTCTCCTTCCCTGATGTGCTCTAATGAGGCTGCACTGATGGGCACTGATGAGGAGGCACTGATGGGCATTGACAGGCATCACTGGTGGGAATTCACAGACATCACTGATGGGCACTGAAAGGCAGTACTTATATATGGCACTGACAGGCGGCACTGACTCGCACTGATTGGCGGCACTGACAGGCAGCACTGAAAGGCAGCTCAGATGGGGGCAATGATATGTGGCATTGATGTATACTGGTAGGCACTGATATGTGGCATTGATGTGCACTGATGGGCACTGACAGGTGGCATTGATGGGCAAAAACAGGTGGTGGCATAGAAGGGCACTGACAGGTGGCACTGATGGGGCTACACTGATCATTAGTGCCCTGATGATCAGTGTAGATGTCCCCTTTGAGGAATGCCGATTACCGGCTCTCCTCACGCGCTGTCAGCGCGTGAGGAGAGAAATGCCGACAACCGAAATTTCCTTATTTACATGCGATCAGCTGTGATTGGACACAGCTGATCACATGACAGAGCAGAAGTCATTGGCTCTTTCCATTGATCGGTGATCTGCTATATCCCAGGGACACAGCGCACCACCGATCGTCGCGTTGCACGCCCGGTTAGAGTGGGAGGATGTCATATGATGTCCTCCCAGAATGAGAGAGCCGCCTTGCGCCAATCATTTCCTTATATGGCGGGCGAGAGACGGTTAAAATGACCAGCTTTTATTTATTTACTGTATGTAAAACCTTTATCCCCAATGGAAAAAAAACGGTTCACTGTAATTGCAAAGTGTTAGCTGGAATTTGGCTTCAGTTTGTTAGTGTACCTATATCTGCTAGTCCACCTAACACTCCACTCCGCTCTTTCTGCTGATCGGTGGTCCGCTGTGCCCCAGGGACACAGCACACCCCCGGGATGTGCATGCGCAGTTAGAGTGGGAGGACGTCATATGATGTCCTCCTAGAACAAGAGAACCACCTTGCGCCCATGATTTCCATATATAGTGGGTGGGAGGCGGTTAAACATAACTTGAATAGATTCTCCTTCACTGATAACATTTGTTGATCTGACAAACAGAGATCTAGATGTGTTTGTGGCTTTCAGTTTAAAGCCGAAGTTTAGCTAAAAATAAAAACATAAAATCAGCACAGGGGACACAGTTTAATGATGTGTTGATTCTTCTTTCAGTAGAATTCTTCCTCTGTCCTGACAACCCCCCACCCTAAATATTCAGGCGTGGTGAGCTCTCATCAAGAGAGCTTGACTATGCCTGCCCTTTCCTGCCAGATCTGTCATTCATATAAGCTGTACTTGTATCTACGAATGCATCATTCATCTGCCCATGCCCCATTCAGATATCCATAAAATACAGGCTATGGTGTCTCCTGAAATATTCTCTGCAGAATTTTGCAAAGATGTTTAATAGGTTGAGAAGCCAGTCACATTACTGAGAGATCATATCAGTGAGCTCTCCTCCTCACAGATGTCTGTCCATTTGAATGGAGGTTTGCTTCCTTTGGAGTCCTAAAGCAAAAAAAGCACTAAACACATTTGTAAAGCATAGCACTGTGCCTTGTATATGTGCCGCAGCAAGGCCATACAGCTGCTTTAAAAAACAGACCCCTTTTTTTTTTCAATATACATTTCTTGTTTGAATAAATAATGCAATGTATGAAAATCAGCAGCTTCTAAACAAGTACATAGAATAAACTACTCACAGTTTCAGGCACAATGATTTTGTACAATTACATGGCTTTCTTGGTCGACTTGTTGATTCTGAAGAAATTATGCTATGAAGGTGAAAGACCAGAAAGATGACAAGTATTATAATTTAAAATTTCTCTGTTTCCAAACTAAACAGAAAATATATATTTATCTCTTCAAAATCTTCACTTTTCAATGGGATGTTAAGCTTACACTTCATTGTTTTCAAACAGTATCAAAAGCACCAAATCTTCCAATTAGTGGTGTATAATTTAATTTGTTAAAGAAGTGCTCTGCCCCCCCCCCCCAGCGCTCACTGGAGCACCAGGAAAGAGAGGGGGCGGCAGCAGCAGATAGCTCAGGCTCTCTACAGAGTGCTGAGAGGCAGAGCCAACTGCCAGTTAGGAATCTGGGTGGATCCTGACATTGCTGTTGGGATCCCTCTAGAGTCTGGAAAGGCTCTGTGATGTCAGCTGACAGCTGGTCACAGGAGAGCGCAAGTAAGGGCACTCCAGTAACCCATAATAGAAGTATGGCCAAAAGAGCAAATTAAACCTTCAAGGATATAAAAGAATAATTACACACTGGGCATAAGCATCTTTTTGTTATTTGTCACATAAGATCTTCCAAACTACATTATTACTGCAGACTAAGAGGGATAATCTCTTCATTATTATTCTATTTAAAAAGCGACCTTATAGGAATGAAAGCAGAAAAGATATTGTTTAACCTGGGCCTTCTCTACGCACGCACACACACACACAGATCTGTATTACGGTAAACAGATAAACTATACAAAGCACTATCCGGCAAATGGTGTTGTCACCAGGGAACTTCAGTTACTGAAATAGCTTTTTGCAGATTAAAGCAATCCACGATTTTGAGCTCTACAATACACCTGCAAGCACCTTCAAGTGCTTTACATGACTGTTGCCAATTTAGCAACTTTAACATGAAATAAAAGGTTCACTTTTAACATTACCTGGAGTTTTCATTAACCATAAAATATTCATAAAAACATACCAGTGTATATGCTACTTTTGCTATATAATAAAAGCTTGCTTATAAAATGTCCAATTGCTTAAAAATCTATCAGTTTAAAAAATGACAAAACAAAAGTTATACTCACCCATTTAACGGTCCCCGGGGCTGATTCTGTGAACTCTGAGTAGCAGATAATCCTGCATTGCTTGCTATGGAAACATATGAAGACTGCTGCAACTGTATAAACGTAACACAAAATAAAATAACTAGTATGTACAAACAAACATTTCAAAATCTATACTTGACAGATTAGTAAATTATGCAGCTGAGCCATACAAACTGACAAAACCTGGTCAGTGAAAACACAAATAGGCTGTTATAGTAAGTCCATACTGAAACCACATAAGCAATGCCCAACTCTGACATTTATCTACAATTGGTCATTGTAACTTCTGCAGATGTAGTGGAACTAAATGTGAAACTTAATCTATTCAGGTTTCAAAAGCAGTCTATAACCCCATTAAGGAGATTCTCCCTCGCTTCCTGTTGGCATCCTGCGAACAGCATAGGAAATGAGAGGAATCTCCCTAAAAAGAAAAAAAAATCTAACCATTCTCCATTGTGATCAAAACAAAAAGTTTTTTTTTTAAATTGCCAGAGCTGGGCTCCAATTATTTAATTAAACTGTATGGAAAGTTTGAAGAGCGCATTTGAAAACCCCCAAGCCACAAAACATAATGCTTGGAATTAATTGTTTTAGGTTACCAGTGACTAGAATGCTTAACACAGTAGAAGAATTGGTATGGCAGGACACTAATAAGCAAGTTATGACCCCTAATGTAGTACCATGCTAAATATTAAAGTATGACTGCAGTGTCACTTTACATTGTGAACCTGAAGGAGGACTACAGTCAAGAGGTGTTTATTGCCATATCTACCTTCCATTTTGTTCTGGTAACAGGCAGCAAGGAAAGTCTTCCCTACAGGAACATACACTGCAATAAATCCTAACAGAACTTGTAGTTTGCTTATTTAAAGAATATGTTACCCCAACATTTCATATACCTGATGTGTTTTGTTGTACCATGTATCCATGTTAAAAAGTATCCTGTGCTCTTCATATTGCTTCTTTTACGTGAAATACCTAGTGATCCTGCCAGTCTTATTTCAAAGTGACAATGCCAGGCATAAGAGCACAAACATCACAGTATAGTCAAGCTTTCTGGATGTGCTGGGAGCACAGCCTGCCTAACCTCCAATTGTCAGACTTATGCCAACATGCCCACTGCACATCCATTCACTGAGAAGATCAGGGTCCTGCTGTTTGATAACCCCCAGCTCTCTAAGAGCCTTATGCAACTAAGAACAGAGATTATGTGTGTGTGTGTGTATGTGTGTATATATATATATATATATATATATATATATATATATATATATATATATATACACAGTGGGGATCGAAAGTTTGGGCACCCCAGCTAAAAATTTGTATTAATGTGCATAAAGAAGCCAAGGAAAGATGGAAAAATCTCCAAAAGGCATCAAATTACAGATTAGACATTCTTATAATATGTCAACAAAAGTTAGATTTTATTTCCATCACTTACACTTTCAAAATAACAGAAAACAAAAAATGGCATCTGCTAAAGTTTGGGCACCCTGCAGAATTTATAGCATGCACTGCCCCCTTTGCAAAGCTGAGACCTGCCAGTGTCATGGATTGTTCTCAATCATCGTCTGGGAAGACCAGGTGATGTCAATCTCAAAGGTTTTAAGTGCCCAGACTCATCTGACCTTGCCCCAACAATCAGCACCATGGGTTCTTCTAAGCAGTTGTCTAGAAAACTGAAACTGAAAATAGTTGACGCTCACAAAGCTGGAGAAGGCTATAAGAAGATAGCAAAGCGTTTTCAGATGTCAATATCCTCTGTTTGGAATGTAATTAAGAAATGGCAGTCATCAGGAACAGTGGAAGTTAAAGCAAGATCTGGAAGACCAAGAAAAATATCAGACAGAACAGCTCGCAGGATTGTGAGAAAAACAATTCAAAACCCACATTTGACTGCACGATCCCTCCAGAAAGATCTGGCAGACACTGGAGTTGTGGTCCACTATTCCACTATAAAGAGGTACTTGTACAAATATGGTCTTCATGGAAGAGTCATCAGAAGAAAACCTCTTCTACGTCCTCACCACAAAAATCATCATTTGAACTTTGCAAATGAACATATAGACAAGCCTGATGCATTTTGGAAACAAGTTCTGTGGACCGATGAGGTTAAAATTGAACTTTTTGGCCAGAAGGAGCAAAGGTACGTTTGGAGAAGAAGGGGCACAGAATTTAATGAAAAGAACCTCTGTCCAACTGTTAAGCATGGGGTTGGATCAATCATGCTTTGGGTTGTGTTGCAGCCAGTGGCACAGGGAACATCTCACGAGTAGAAGGAAAATGGATTCAATAAAAATTTCAGCAAATTTTGGATGGTAACTTGATGCCATCTGTGAAAAAGCTGAAGTTAAAGAGAGGATGGCTTCTACAAATGGATAATGATCCTAAACACACCTCGAAATCCACGGGGGATTACATCAAGAGGCGTAAACTGAAGGTTTTGCCATGGCCTTCACAATCTCCTGACCTCAACATAATTGAAAATCTATGGATAGACCTTAAAAGAGCAGTGCGTGACAGACAGCCGAGAAATCTCAAAGAACTGGAAGACTTTTGTAAGGAAGAATGGGCAAAGATACCTCAAACAAGAATTGAAAGACTCTTGGCTGGCTACAAAAAGCGTTTACAAGCTGTGATACTTGCCAAAGGGGGCAGTACAAGATATTAACTCTGCAGGGTGCCCAAACTTTTGCAGACATCATTTTTTTGTTTTCTGTTATTTTGAAAGTGTAAATGATGGAAATAAAATCGAACTTTTGTTGACATATTATAAGAATGTCTAATCTGTAATTTGATGCCTTTTGGAGATTTTTCCATCTTTCCTTGGCTTCTTTATGCACATTAATACAAATTTTTAGCTGGGGTGCCCAAACTTTCGATCCCCACTGTATATATGTGTGTATATATATATATATATACACACACACACACACACACACACACACACACACACACACTATATTGCCAAAAGTATTGGGATATAATGAATCTTACGGATTGCTGCAGACACTTTCGAATACATCCTAACTGCCCAAACCACATCTAATGTATGCCGGGCTTTTTCTCTCCTAGCAACTAAAGCCTAGGAAAAAATGAAGGCAAAACAATGTCCTGATTAGGCCTCATGCACACAGGGCGTTTTTACAGCCACTTTTAGGGGCGTCAGGCGGTTTGGTTTTTTTTACAGCTTCCAAACACCCCTCCAGGTTATCCTATGTGTCCATGCACACATAGACTTTTAGAAGCTTTTAGTGGCAGGAGCCTTTAGGAGCTGTAAAAAAAACCCACTGCCAGTGCATCCAGGAGCATCAGCAGAAAAAATGCTTGACTCGTGTAAATGCATCTAAACACGCATTAACGGTAGGCGCGTTTAACAGTTGAGCGTTAATTCATTTCAATGGCAATAATAAATTATTATTCTGGCCAATTAAAAGAATTAATGCCCAAATACTTGACACCTGTAAAGACGCAGACACTTTTACAAGCATCAGGCGTTTTTTTCTGCCAAAATGCTGCTACCAAGAGAAGGAGCGTTTTTAAAACGTCCTGTGTGCATAAGGCCTTAAGAAGAAAATTCAAAACCACCTTTAGCAAAAACGATGGAAGGGGATGCAGTCCCCCTAGTACCAAAAACAGAGCCACCAATTCCGATACTCCTCTTGCCAAAGTGATTGCAAACAAAACGACAACCTTCCGAGTCAAAAGAACTAATGGAATCTCACAGATTGGCTCAAAAGATGGTTTCTGTAAAACAGAGAGGACAAAATTCAAATCCCACGAACACAAGAGTAACCTAGCAATTGGAACCGTAGGAGTTACTTCCTGAAAATTGTACATACCAAAAGAATGAGAAGCAATTGGTCTGACAAAAAACTGCCAGGGCCAGTACCTGGCCTTTTATGTGCTCAAGGCCAAATTCAATTCCACCCCGGATTGGAGAAAATCCAAAATACGTCCAATCATATATTTACAGGGATGAAACTTTCTAGCCTCATATCAAACCACATAAGACCTCCAGGTCCTATGATAAATCTTCCTAGAAGAGGGCTTCCTGGCCCTTCACTAATGTAGGAATACCCGCGTTCAAAACCCTTCAAATGCTTCAATACTTGGGTCTCAATAACCAAGCCATTAAATCCAGGGACTGTAAAGCAAGATGCAATATTGGTCCTTCAGAGCTGGAAGCATCCAAGGGCTGTCCACCACCAGGTTTATGATGTCATATACCATGTTCTCCTGGGCCAAGCTGGTGCAACTAGAATTACTAGTGTTACTTCCTCTCCAACCCTGAGTAACAGACGCAGAAAAAGCTGAACCGAAGGGAAGGCATGAATTAGGGAGAAACCATCCCAAGGTGAAACTAGGGCGTCCACACCAATGGCCTGCAGAATTGCTGGCAACTGAGGAAATCTGCCTCTCAATTCTCCACACCTGAGCTATGTGCTGACAACAGAGCCAGAACATGATGCTCTGCTCATGGCAAAATGCAATCTCCCTGCATCTGGGCAGCCCGACTCCTGGTGCCTCCCTGATGATTGATGGACTGTTGTTGCATTGTCTGACTGCACAGTTCTCTGTAATGGCCTGGAATGGGACGAAGCCTATGGAACTGCCTCAAACGTGGCAACCTTCTTCTCCAGCAGTCTCATACAGAGAGGAGCCGACTGTCCTCTGAACAACAGGTCATCCATATACCCAAGAAAGGATACTCCCTGAACCCTTAAAGTATAACTAATGCCATCATTTTTTTTTTTTTTAGTTGTGGATAGAGTTGAGAGGGATTAGAACATCCATCAGTACTTAATGCTGTCTCTGCCCCCATTAGGGAGATTCACCCACTCTATTTTTCCTGTTTACCATTATCATTGAAAGAAAAAGTAAAAGAAAATCCCAAATTTTGGGGTGTCCCCAAAAAAGTAGATAGGAAATCTTCCAATGGGGACACTAGTCCTGGTGACCTGGAGGGCCCTAAGGGATTCCCTTAATTTGCAAGGATTTCTTTCTCACTGTTTTGGCTATAGGACAGGAAGTCTCCATAATGGGACAGTGATGGACAAAAAAACTGACAGGTGTTATAACCCCCTTACTCCATCCAAAATGTAAAAAAAAATGTTGCCTATAGCTCTACTTTAACAGGCCCAGCCCTGGAGTAACACCTTTGTGAAAACCCGAAGGGGTTTGGCCAGTCTAAATGGTAGAGTCACAAATTGAAAAAAGCCGGTCTTCTTTCTCAAATCGTAAAAATTTCTGATGCATGGATAAAATTGGAAAATGGAGATATACATTCCTTACATCCACTGATGCAAGAAAGTCCACCACTGAACAAACCAACTCTATACGAAATGTCCAGATTTTGAAAAACCTGTTCAGACATCGCCATTTAGCTTTAGGACTCTGAAGAGATTGGAGTAAAATCTGAGGAACCTTTCGGTCACAGGAGCTGTTCCGATTACCGTAAGCATAAAGCAACACAGAGAGAGCACTGGCTAGTGCATTATCCTTAAAACATAAGGCAATAGGACCTCCAACAGGCTATAGGACCTCCAACAAAGCTAACGTGTTTCGATGACTAGCCTTTTCCTCAGAGCCAAAACGTGTTTTGGAGGTCCTATTGCCTGGTCATGTGATATAACGAATCGTGGATTGGACTGTGCTGTTTTTATATGATAAACTTATGATATTCGCTATTTCGTGAGTATAATACCACTTTTACATACATAAAAATATGTTTTAAGGATAATGCACTAGGCCAGTGCTCCCTCTGTTTTGCTTTATTCTTACTTGCAGGTGCAGGAGAATTGGTGTTTATCTACTTGGACCGTTCTGATTACCTCCTGTGCCAGCAGAGGATTGAGCGCCTGAAACAGAAACGCCCTCTTCCTCTGATCTACAGGCACATTTATCCTCTTAAACTGTGGAGGAGGAAAGGTCAGAAATTCCAATCTGTACTTGTACACTGTGAAAAGGACCCAAAAGTCACTTTTTGCCAGGCCTCCAGAAAAGCCAGCAGCCCCTAGCCCCCCCTCGAATGAGTGGGGGCGCCCTAACACTGTCCCCCAGAGCCCAGGGCTCTGAGGAAGAAAGGATCCCCTTCAAAACACGTCAGCCAACCTTCCAGCATCTTCCTTTATCTGGGACTCGCACAGTATTCTGAACTACATTTCCAGCGTTAGATATGATATGCTTATAATTATTTGGTGTTTGTAAGTATACATCTATTTTATTTTTTTAATAAATATGTTGCTGCTGAAGTAATGCGCAAGGCTTGTGCGCCTTTTTTTTCACTTTGAAGTTTCAATTTGGGCTTCCCCAGCCTTTCAAAAGTGCTACATAGCGTTGCCCATAGTTGGTGGCTCTATCCTGACAATGAAGATTCATCCATATTTGCCTGATCTGGGTTTCTGAGCGCAGGTGGTAATTGGTTTTCCTTTCTAGCCCCTGTATGTCTTCAGGTTCATAAGCCTGCGACATGGATTTCACTGTCTGATCCTCTTCAAGTTCTTCCCCTACCAGCTCCTCATCTATATCTACCCATTATTTATCTACAACTAGAGGAGGATCTGGCAAAGGGGGATGTTCTCACTTCTTACCACCCTGCCCCATGGAGGCGAGCATGCCAGCAATCTTTTTCTTTAGGCCAGTCAAAGCAGAAGCCAAGTCATCCTTACTGAAATAAGCTGAAGTTGATGCCCCTGCACCGGCCACAATATCACAGATATATTGGCTCAAATGCACCTGCCACAAAATCAGTGGGACTATCACCAGAGTCCTTTGGACCTGACACGTTTCTGCTCCCAGTGTGTGCAAACACCCTGGCGTGTGTTTGCGCACACAGCAATAGAAACAACTCGAAGCATAAAGGGGGTTGACACAAATAGTCAGCAGTACCTAACTAGATATCTGCAGGAGTACAGGAGACACAAACTGAGCACCACTGGCTCTAAGAATAAAAACAGAAAGACACCTTAGGCCACCCAAAATGTGATCCCCACTTAAAGGGCCCACATGCTGCATAAACACTCACACACATTATAGCCGTGAATATGTGGTCTTTTTTAAGGACTGAACAGGAAGTTGTGGCCCAAATTGGGAGAGGCTGAACAGATAACTAATAACTAACCTGAGTCACATACTGAGCAGGTAGGACGGCATAGCCAACGTTTCCAGTTCCTGGAGCAGGTGTCAGAACAGTACCTGGAGGAAGATTAGTGAGATTGGGCTGAATTTGTGCCAATGGTGTAGCAGGCATGAGAAGTCGCTGCTGTGGTTGGCTGGTGGTCACTATCTGTGAAGGTGCATTTATTGGTTTTGGGGCCACCTAAAAAGAGAAAGATACTGATAAGCACATATACACCACTAATAGCTTTAGGTGGAATATAAAGATGCAAAGTCTTTGTCAAAATGTTTACCTCAAGCGCTTCCCTCAACATCACCAAAGGGTCACAAATAAAATTCAGTGAATAATCATTATTAGAGACAACAGACACACAAAAGGACATGGGCATGATACCAAAGATGGTCAGAGATAGACATGATATAGAAAAATGTCAGAGACAGTGGACATAAGAGCTTGTCAGAGAAAGCGGACAGACTGCGAACATGCCATAGTTGTTGATGCAGACTGGGGACATGTTTCAGGACACAATTATAGACTAGAGATATATTGCATTAGGCTGCTAGAAATCACTTCTATAACAGGGCAATAGAAAAACACAGCATTAGTGTCTGCAGGGGCCCCATGGTCTGCATAAAAAGTGCTGCAACCGGGGACCTAGGGCTGCAGGTTGGGCACCAGGGGTTTAACTTGTTCCTGATAAATGTTTAACTATAAATAACTTTTCACCTTTCAGTGTTGCAACAAAGTGTTTTCAAGGGCATCTGCACATATCTATGTTTAAATACAGCCACCTATACAGCTATAGTGCAAGAGGAGTGTTAAATAGTTAACCTGATAAAAGGCACATGTCCATGGAGTTCAAATGAAGGCAAAGGTAAATAAATAAAAAGTTTGCATCCTAGAAACCCTAAATGTGCTGATTAACTAAATCATCATACGATTTTTTCCAGCAGTTAAAGTCCTTCTGGATCCTCAATGGATAACCAATCTAGAGTGGTACTTTGTTACAAATACTGTAGGCAGCTATTCTTTCCACATTTCAAAACACATCCAGCTTTTTTTATTATTATTTAAACAATCTACAAAGTTAGCTAGAACTAGCTACTGTGGATGTATATTTTACATTTTCACAGCTCTGTAAAGAAACCTTTCTGTATGCAAGGGTTAAACATCTTTATGCCCTTGCCATCTGCAAAGACCTTAAATTGATAAACCTCTCACCAAGTTTGAAATATGGACTGTTCATGTATTTACACAAGGTTATCAAGTCTCACTTTTAAACACCTCATCTACAGGAAGAATAAATTAATATCAGTTAATCGTCCCTCACAGTGGAGTGATTTGTCAACTATTTCTCAGAGATTCAAATGTAAAGAAAAATTGCACTCACTTGTTTGACAGCCTGTGCTTGAACTATAGGAACAGACATCCGCACTGGCGTAGCATTTACCACTACTGGTTTAGCTGGAAAAAAGGATATTACTTGTATTATTTTACTAAAATCTAAAATACTTAAAATTATTTGTTTCACATGTTGTCCACATCTTTTCAAAAACACCCTAAAATAAAAAGGAAAAGCCAATCCATAATAATCTAACCAAAACCTTTGAGAAGACTGACTTAATATCCCCCTGAAAAAATTTGTCAGCAACTACAAAAAGGACCCTTGCCCTCAATGGCCTGCATCTGCCATAAGAATTGCCTTAAAATATATGCATACCCTTGTCTTGTGAAACAACCCATTACGTTTAAAATGGAAACGAAAAGCAAAACATTTGTGTATAGATTAACCACTTGCCCTCCTGAGGATTTACCCCCCTTCCTGACCAGGCTATTTTTTGCGATACGGCGCTGCGTTACTTTGATTGGCAATTGCGCGGTCATGCAATGCTGCACTCAAATTAAATTTACGTCCTTTTTTTCCCCCCCATGAATTGAGCTTTCTTTCATTGGTATTTGATCGCCTGTTTTTAATAATAAAAAAAAAAGGCCGACAATTTTGGGAAAAAAACAATATTTTTGACTTTTTGCTATTAAACATATCCAGTAAAAAAATTGTAAAAATCTAATTTCGTCATAAATTTTGGGCAAAAATGTATTCTGCTACATGTCTTTGCTAAAAAAAAAAATCCCAATACGTGTAAATTAATTGGTTTACGTGGAGCGCTATAACCAATAATGTAAATAACATCTTGGTATTGACGTTTAAAGTGCACAAGTGACACAAAGGCAATATAAAGATTCCAAGTTCAATAAAATATCATCAGGTGAATTCTGTGATTCCAGTGGCTGTAAATGAATGTATATTGCACTAACCAGAAAGCGCATTATAATGCGCATTCGAGTAAATCAGACCACTCCTGGTCATCTGGATCTGGAAAGGTAACTCAGGGGATTATCTGGCAAACCTCAGCAAGACAGGTAATACACAGCGTCACTCTCCAGGCTCCAGGAATGAACATCCATCCAGCAGGGGGAACCACTCATGAAGGTAAGTCAGGAGTAACAGGAATCCACCTTGGGGGGGCTCGTAATATAAACGAGCCAGAGAAGAAACTTCTAACTGTGCAGTATTTTTATTAAAGGTATGGGTAAATACACATCATATGAATGCACTCACATCTGGCATAAAACAGAGTCAAAGATGGCCGCTGACCTTCCACGTGGCCTGAGCTGTCGTTTTATGCCAGATGTGAGTGCATTCATATTTTTTTGAGACCGGTTGCTGCCATCAATTTAAAAACTACCTTATTTTTTTCTTAAAACACTACATTTTCTGAGTTTACACATTTGATATGTTTTCTATTTTCTTCTGTGAATAAAACATGGGTTAATGAGATCATTGCATTCTGTTAGCAACATCATGTAGATTTTACACAGCGCCCCAACTTTTTCGGAATTGGGGTTGTAGATATGGTTGATTGAAGACTAAGAAACTCCTTTTTGTGTACTCACCATAAAACCCTTTTTTTTTGTTGGAGTTTATTGGGGGACACAGGAAGTTATTAACTATTAGGTTGTACTGCTTCTTACAAGAGGATATTGGATGGCAACCAAAACAATTGTGGACCAGCCCAGGGCAACTCCTACTCCCAGCATGCCTAATTTTGTAGTTAGCAGTACCAAGGGCATGATTATAAACACAAATGGGGGAGGACCTGTCACCCTGAACAGACATCAAGAAAATATTTTTTAAAGAGTACAAAAATCATAATTTCTTTTTGTCCACTGAGGAACAAAGAAATCACCTTTCATATTGTCCAAAATCAATCCAACTGAGGGGTGGGAAATACAGCAAAAACCCTAAAAGGCCCACTGAAAACAAGGGAACTGAGGCCTCAAAAGGAGGCTACTAATAGTCCCATAAATCTCATGCAGAAGTATGCTGGCATTTGCCGTGATGATTTTCAAAAACACAGGATGAAAGAACATCCCTGATTTAAGAAACAAATTCCTGAGCTACCCAAACCGGAGAGAACCTTGTGCTCAGGTGCCACTCACATTATTCTTTCGAAGGACTTGACTTGCTTGTCCTGCAATTACAGACTGTTGAGTTAGAGGGGTTGGGAGTGAAACTGTAGAAATGGGTATGCGTCAAAGGAGGCCAACAGCAACCCCAGGACTCTCATGCAGAAGCAGGATGTCAGGCAAATCCAGAACGGAAAAGCATGAGTCTAGAAACTGAATGTTTTCCTAGGGAAGAAAAACTCTGGCTAGAGCCGTGTTTAGGACTAGACCCAGATATTCAAAATAATGAGTTCTGAAGGTTCAAGATCTTGTCAAACCTCTGCAGGGTCCGGACAGTCAAGGTTATAATGCGCCAGCTGTTCCTTCAGCAGCCATTTAATCTCGATATCCCACAACAGGGAATGCTCCAAGAGCATAGTAAGGGTATTACAGAGGCCAGCACCAACACCTGAGGTGAAAGGCCAAAACACTGAAAATGCAGAGGATCCACAGCACTGCATAATTTCTGATGTGCTGAAAAGATGAGGACATCTAGCTACATGTAACCAGAAAATCTCCCTTATGCAAGGAGGACCAGGGTAAGTCAATGCAGAATTTCGGCCCGAATGCCCTTTCGTCCAAGATGGGTGGATGCCTCCCTCTGGAGCAGTGAAACCCTGTTCAATAAGACATGCTGGGATGCCTGGAGAGCTAATCTGTGTGGTGACACAGATGGTTGGAACTGATAAACTGAGGAGGGGGCTAGGAGAGAATATCTAGTGTGTAGCTGCTGGAAACTACCTCTTGCACCCAAATATCTAAAATGCAACCCATTCAAATGTCCTCAAAGACTAACAGACATCCCGGCTCTGGAAAAAGCACCTTCCAGCTGAAGATGGTTTACTGAGGGTTTGGCAGAGTTCCAGAAATTGCATGAGGCCTGGGAATTCGGCTTGAGTGTTAACTTAAAGGACAAGTTCACCTAAAACAATACTAAATGCACATCTTTTTTGCAGGTAAAAAAAAAAATGTACATTTAATATTTTTTTATTAGGAGCCTGTAAAGCATTACACCCATGATCAACAGATCGCGGGTGCAATCTCAGGCTCCTGCAGACTGTCAGTGTAGATGTCTGCTTGTGCTTCTGATAGGGGCAGACAGTTACAGAAAGGATCAATTAACTACCTGGAGTGCTCATCAGTGCCCTGGTAGCTCATTAAGAACTACAAGCCATCAGTCAAAATGGCTGACGGTAGTTGCAGTTCTCCCAGTCACAGTCCCAGGGAGAAGATTCCTGGACCGCTGTCACAATGGGGATGCAGGGGATGCTCATTTAGTAACATGTTACACCCTAAATATGGGTGTAACATGTTACTAAAGGTGAACTTATCCTTTAAGAGTTTCTTTCTGCAAAGTAAAGAAAGACTATGCTTGACCTCCGAGGGATGAGCCTTTTTAAACTGGGCCTTAGGGTTTTTTTGACTGAGGAAGACAGGTGTTGTTGCCATCAGTAGCATACCTCAAGATGTTCTTCCTCACAGGCCATATGAAGCAAGTGCTTCTTAAATTTGGAGTCAGCAGTCCAACACTTAGCGAAAGTGTTTTTTTTACGTGTGAGCTGACATGAAACGTATACATGAACTGTAACTGTAAGGAAACCTCCAGTGGCCAATCAACACAGTAGTTCAAAGCTACAGACATTTGATCCAAACGTTCTAGGACAAAGGGACCAACCACCATCGTGATCAGATCCCTTCTGATATCTTAAACCAGTTAGATAAGGTCACACAAAAAAGGATGCAAAGGTCTGCCAGCCAGGACAAGGCTCTAAAAAAAGCCTCTAGACTATTGATGATGGGGTCCTTGGGGACAAGTACATCCTCCATCAGAATAGTGCTTTTTAAGACAGCATACTGCCGGATCCACAAAAAGAGAAGACCACATTTTAACAAAGTCCTCCTCAAACTCTGGTACAAATATTTGGTCAGAATATTTCCAGTCTTCATAAAGGAAGACATGGAACAGTGAGTGTATCAGAAAGGTCTTGGCAGTATTAAGAGAGATAAAGAATCCTAGATCGGGGACATGACTGCTAAAATCAACAGGCCGACTCTCAAGTTTTACCATGATGCACACCTCATCAAGAACAGCTCAAATGGTCTCATAATTTGGGAGTGATGGTTGAAGATCGCAACTCCTCATAGGCACGTTCATTCAGTAAGGCCAGAGAGATTCAGCATCAGGCAGTCTCAGCAGCTGATGGCGCAGAGGTCACGGGCAGATCTGATATAGAATCTGCAGGGGAATTAGTAGGAGTGCACTTGTGCCTCTCAATTAATAATTGATAAACAGTTGTGCCATTTGACCAATAAAGTAATGCATGACTAAAGAATAAGCCTCCTTAGATACAGCAGATGGTCCAGATCCTAGGAGCAGGGGGCATACAGGTTCTAGGCTGCAGATGTCAACCACACATGAATTTCAAGTGTACATTTAGGGCTTGGAGAGGGAATGAAAAGCCGATTAGGGTGTATAACTACACTTCTTGAACACTGTCCAAAAAAAAAAATAATAAAAAAACCCAAAAAACCACAGTAATCATGCATTATATCCTACCTGGAAGAGAAGCAGCCATATACATATACATACAGGCTAAGCACAGAAAAGCATACCTTGCTGGAGAGGCTGAGTGCTGGTGCTTGGGTTCTGACTAGGTGTGGAGCTGCTTGCTGTTGATGCAGTAACAAGTCTTACATAATGAAACTTGCTTCCGGGGACTTGAATCTGCTGTACATTTGGAGCTGCTGCAAGCGGTATGATAGTTTTGAACTGTGGTGTTGTATTAACACCACCAACTGTTATTGTCTGAACTGCTGGTTTTACAGTCTGAAGAAAAAAAGCACGAGACAAATGAGAGTTTAATAGTATAATAGTATAAACACACCTTTGCATTAAAAAATAAAAATAAAAATTGCACTCATCGTAAAATCCATTGACAGACACAGGAATACACTACCCTTCGGGTTTTACAGAGATCAGAGTTGGACAGTGGCAAACAAAAAAAAAAAAAAACAACAGAAAAAATTAAATCCAGCCCAGGATAAGCCCTCTTACTACTAGCATGACACAGTTTTGTATCAGTACTAAGAGTATGATCATAAACACAGATAGGTGAGACCTGTGTCCCTCAACAGACTTCAAGAAATGGATTTTACAGGGAGTAAAAAAAGACCCTGTTTTCTCTCCCATCCACTGAGCGTCACAGAATGAGTTTAACTTTCAGGACTTCCAAAACCAGTCAAATGAGGGGTGGGCAACAGCAAACAAATGCTAATAGGACCACTAAACAAAAAAAAATAAGACTGCCTGCAAGTAAAAGAGCTGCCTGAAGGACTTTGTGCTAGAAAATGGCACTGGATAAAGCCTAAATATTGAACCTGGTAAAACTTAGAAAATCTGTGAACCAGAGACCAGCCTTGCAAATCTGGGAAACAGTAATCTGATTAAAAAAAAATAATAAACATGTTATACTTACCTTCTCTGTGCAGTGGTTTTGCACAGAGCAGTCCCGATCCTCCTCTTCTTGGGTCCCCAACTGGTGCTCCTGGCTGAGTGCTACCACAGCATGCAGCTCTGCGTGTCCATCCACACACAGAGAGCATCTCGGCCACGTCCCCTCTCTGTCCTCTTTGGCTTACTGGCTGTGATGGAAGAGGCTCTGGAGAAGTCCTGGAGGTAAGCGTAGGAGGAGGTGACGAGGGAGCTAGAGAGCAATATGTCTTGGGAGGAGCAGAGTGGGCGATTTGGACGATATCTACGGATGAGGTTGGTGGTGTAGCTAGGGGCAGTGTTGTGGATGGCTTTGTATGTTGTGGTTAGTATTTTGAATTTTACACGTTGGGTTAGTGGAAGCCAGCGAAGGGATTGGATCCACACAACCCCCCTTGTCCTGGAAAGACTGCTGTTTCCTCTCTGGTGGTTGATGTATACAGTGTAGCAATAATCCTTTTATACAATGAAGCAAGCTACCCTAATATGTGAGATTTCATTATCACAACTGATTTTGGTTGTTGTAGCCACTGCTATGTCATCCACACACTAGATTGACCTACTCCCTAATGTGTTTGAAGGAAGAAGTTTCCAATTTTAGTGAGTGTCTGTACAAATATGCTATGTGTAAGGCTTTGGCTGAAACATGTTATTGCTGTATTCTGCCATGTAGACAATAAAGTACTGATGCAATGGATGTTACAAAGTAGCAGGTTTCATTGTATGACAGGATTATTGCTACATTCCAAAGGCATTTGGACCAGAGGACCAGTTCCCAGTCTTCCAGGTAATTTGCATTACATCAAGTTTTCTTTGTTGGAATATGCCACTACTGTGGCACTGTCCGAGAATCTGGATCAGGTGATCCTCCAACTGGAGGATCAAGTGCTGCAAGTATAACCAAATTGCCCAAAACTCCAGAGATGAGATTCCTCCAACATTCAAAACTCCTGTACAGACAGGTTTGCTCAGGACCAGGCTGGCATGCAACATGAGGATCCTCCAAAAGAAGGGAAGGAAGAATTTCTCTAACTCTGGAGCCAGATTCCTGAGCCACCAAGCCAGGAACAACCTGGTCTTCAGTGCCAGAACTGGATTTCACTGATTTGTCCCAAGATTAAAAAAATATTGTGTTGTGGAATGGGGCAAAATGGATTGCCTTGAAGGAGGCTGCAATCAGCCCCAGGAATCTCATGCAAAAGCAAAGAATCAAGCAACTCCTGACCTGAGGAAATTGAGAGCCGAGAGTTCGAAGTTTCCTCTGGGGAAGAAAATCTCTGGCTTGGGATGTGTCTAGGATTAGATACAGATTTTCCAAATGATGAGTTGGTTCTCCAGCACCGATTTCTGAAGGTTTAGGCACAGCCAAACTTCTTTAGAAGAATGTAGTCCACCAGAACCATAGCTGACTGTTCACCCTCAGCAGAAGCATGTCAAGATATCCTACAATAGGGATGACCTGAAAGTGCAGTAAGACTTTCTGAGGTCAGCACCTTGTTAAATGCCCGAGGTACAAAAAAAGGCAAGTGCAGAGGGCCCAATGCAAATCTAAGGAAACGCTGATGTGCTAGGAAATTAAGACATTCAGGTTCATTGGTGCTATGCCCTTTTATACATAGGTCTACAAACAGACTCTGTAGTTGAAAACATAGAAGCATGCTATGGATTCTGTAGTCATAGTCAGCAATTACTAGTGCTATTTGGCCCAAACAATCTTACAAGACTGCAGTAAAATCCTCCATGGAGAGAAGGCGGCCAGGTCTGACTGAGCTAAAGAAGACTCCCAGGATGGCATAATTTCTAGTAGAGGGCAAAAATCCAGGCTGTTAGTGTTAGGAATCTCAAGGGGCACACTGAAGGCAGCACCAGAACCCTTAGTAGAGTGTGAGCTGAAGGTACCCGATGCAGCAGGACCGTTCCCTATGTCTAGAATCAAACACAACATTTCACTCATCAGTTGTTAGTGCCCAATTCCTCTTTCAAAAGGGGTTGAGTGTTCCTAATCTTGAGGTAGCTAGAAAGAGCCACAATGAAGGCTAGCTCCACACCACAATGCTTAGGAAAGGCTGATTCAGATAGTTACATAAAACTTAGCAGAAATGTGGCAGGAATCTTGATTGAAGAAAACAGTAGAGAACAAAAATGTTGAACCTTTTTCAGCAGAGCCAAGACATCCCTCCTCCTTTGGCACTAGCAAAAAAAAAAAAAGGTATGCTGGCATTAGGAGGGGTTTATCCTGGTCTGGCCCACATTTTTTCTGTTTGCCAGTGTCCATTCCTTCTGTAGGTGGTAGAATCACCCGACAGTACACGGTTTCCCATGTTCCTGAATTGACTGTATTATAATCACAAACACATAAATATTGCATTGAAATATTGAAACAAACAGTTACAAAACCACTTACTTCTGGTCTCTTGATCTTTTTTTGCAAAATTAAAAAGAAAAATATAGACTTATTGGCATAAGTAAAACCAAAGCGATTACCTGAGCAGTTGTACTGTTAGTAACAGCCTTTGCAGGAGAAGAGGAAGTGGATGTCTGAACACTCAGAAGCTGCTGACCAAGAGCCATGCTTATGGGCACACCAACTGTCTTTTGAGGAGAGCTGGCGGGCTGGGATGCAACAGATACCACTGTGACCTGAGGAGCATTACAAGATAGATTTAAAAATGCTGAAATAAAGAAAAAAAAAAAAGAAGTAATCTCCACATTAACCCATATACTGTGTATGGAAACACAAATTAACTTATAAAATTTCAATTAAATCCAAAGATAAACTGTGTTGCTAGTAAATTGTAAATATAGGTGAGTTTTAAATTGTGCATTTTTGCAAAAAAGTGAAACAGGTACGCAAAACTTTAAATAGGCAACTTACGTAAAACATCTGGAAGATGGCTTCACACTTATGCCTTATGGCCGTGCATGCACTGCATTGGTGTGCATTGAGATAAAATGAACCAAGCATACATTTTATCTCGAAGCAGCACGTTACAACATGTGGCATTGTGTTGCAGTGTGGTTATGCGCATAGATGAATTAATGTCATTTTTTAAAAGTAAAAAAAAAAAAAAAAATCAAAGCACTGCAATGTGTTGCGATGCATCGCATGTGTGCTGCAGTACATTATTACAACACAGACCAGTTCAACATTAGTCATGCCCACTGGTGTGAACAGCCCTTAGAGTGCATGAACTTTTTTTTTTTAAATGTAACACACCATAATGCGTTTTACTAAATCACCATTTGTTCTGGTGCGCTACAACGCATGTGCGTATTAAGGTTAATTGAAATACTATTAACAATGTATAGCACCACAGTGCCCCAAGAAGAATGCACATTTTCATGGGATGAAATGTATGATATTGTGGATCGCACAGAAGTGAACTGAGAATTTATTGGGGTTGTTAACTATATTTTTCAATTCTAGTAGGACTTTTATGAAATAAAAAATATTTATTTTGTAATAGGGAAGGAAGGAAATAGATGACACAGATTCCTTAATCCCCTCCTCCTCTGCACTTCCTACTGAACAGGAAGTGCTCTGTACAGAGAACTTAGCTGTTAATTCACAAAGAGACAAGATAGTAAACATGCCATTCATGTTTACTATCTCTTCAGACATAATGTAACACTAGTGTGCTCAGCAGTATCCTCCAGTCATTGTCCCTTCACAACCTTCTGCTGCTTATCCTCTGCCTGTAGCAGCACACACAAAGGGAGGTGGGTATCAGAGGGCATACAAGAAAGAGTAAGTTGAGAAGGTGACATGGAAGATAGTGGCAGACAGGCAACACAGAAGGCTGGCAGTAGCAGCAGTAGGGTGCACCATCTGCTGATCAGTTACTCATTAGTAAGACATAAGAGGAGTCTAGAGGACCTTTTTGTTAAAGGTTCATGGTCAATGAATAGCAGAAGGGAATGCAGAGGATGTAAGGCTTGCTGAGAAGGTCAGCTGGAAGCAGTTCTCCATCATAAGCCCAGATTTGGCAGTGAAATGGTTAAACACTTCAGCGCGCGCACGCACACACGCGCGCACGCACGCACACACACCTCTTCTGGAATTTTTTTTTAACATAAAAGCCTACTGTTTTGGCAATAACTTTATCACTACATATGTTACCCAATCATGGAGTTACTTTGTTTTTACATTTTAGAAAAATTTACAAAGTGTATCTAATAAAATGTGTTGTCTGCATTAAGGTTTCTGTTTTTCAGGCTTTTTATAACCCCATGGGGGGTTATATATCTAATGTACTTCCTGAACTTTGACATAACACGGCAAAGTGCACAGGACAGCACGGGATATCTGGCAGGATTAACATGCTTTTTTGCACTTATCAAACAGAAATAACAAAATGCTTTCAATTGTATTTTTAAGCACTTAGGCCTCATGCAATATACTATTCTGAACGCCTTTCTCATGACAGGAGAAAATCAGTGTTAAAACTGCACTGAAAGCCACGATTTTCAAATGTGTTCAGGTGCGTTAAGCGTTTGGGCGTTTATTTATTTCATTGGTCAGAATGGTAATTTATTATAAACACCCCTAGCATTTAGATGCTTCACACATTCTTTCTGCCCAAAAGCGCCTCTCTTGAATGTGATTTTGGTGCATCCATATTTCTGTCCCTAAACAACCCTGCCTCTAAAAGCCTGTAAACGCCTATGTGTGTATGGACACATAGGCATATATTGAAGGATGTTTAGAGGCAGAAAAAAATAAAAAAGGCTCCTCAGATCTAACGGAGTATGCAGCTGCTTCATCCTTTAATCCTCTCCTATATTCCAGTTTAAGGGGGTACGGTGAACACATTCCCAGGTTTCCTGTTTTGGGGTGGCTCTTTCAATTACAGCATTCCATGGAAACACCCTTGCATGGTGGTACTAATGCTATGTATCTCTACACTGTGTGCACATCAATAGAATCACACAGTCCCATAGCCAGGGATGGCAAGGCACTCCCATGCTTCCCTCCCCTCTTTTCCAAGTTAACAGACTGACTCAAAACTGCACTGCCCACTGTTACTTCTTTCCTGTGAAGACTGGAAGCTCAGAGATGTAGCATTAAAACAGCAGGTGCCAGCAGCACTGAAAGTTGTAAACTGCAAGCTCTGTGGTAAACTTTTACCAAATAATTAAACTGAGGAATATACAGTATATTTTGCTGTGCTCAATGCGTTAAAACGAAAAAAAAAAAACCACTGGGGTTTACTACAACTTCAATAGACCAAAAGGGGCAAATAATTGAAGTTTATTATTTAGGTTTACATACACTTTTAGGTTACTGTATGTACTAGGCATATACTTTATTCTACTACTTGCCCCATTTATTATGGCACATTATGTAACACATAGTAAATTTATTCATAGATAGGTATTTTAACTAAAATACCGTATTTTCCGGCGTATAAGACGACTGGGCGTATAAGATGACCCCCCTACTTTTCCTGTTAAAAAATGTAGTGTTTGGGCTATACTCGCCGTATAAGACTACCCCTCTTCCAATGCACACCAGTGGGAAGAATCGTGCCCCATCATTAGTATCAGTGGGAGGAATAGTGCCCAGTCATTGGTGTCAGTGGCAGGAATAGCACCCCATCATTGGTGTCAGTGGGAGGAACAGCATCCCATCATTGGTGTCAGTGGGAGGAATAGCGCCCCATCATTGGTGTCAGTGGGAGGAATAGCACCCCATCATTGGTGTCAGTGGGAGGAATAGTGTCCCATCATTGGTGTCAGTGGGAGGAATAGCACCCCATCATTGGTGTCAGTGGGAGGAATAGCACCCCATCATTGGCGTCAGTGGGAGGAATAGCGCCCCATCATTGGTGTCAGTGGGAGGAATAGCACCCCATCATTGGTGTCAGTGGGAGGAATAGTGTCCCATCATTGGTGTCAGTGGGAGGAATAGCACCCCCCCATCATTGGTGTCAGTGGGAGGAATAGCACCCCATCATTGGTGTCAGTGTGAGGAATCGTGCCCCATCATTGGTGTCAGTGGGAGGAATAGCGTCCCATCATTGGTGTCAGTGGGAGGAATAGCACCCCATCATTGGTGTCAGTGGGAGGAATAGTGTCCCATCATTGGTGTCAGTGGGAGGAATAGCACCTCATCATTGGTGTCAAGGAATAGCACCCCATCATTGGCGTCAGTGTGAGGAATCGTGCCCCATCATTGGTGTCAGTGGGAGGAATAGTGTCCCATCAGTGGCGTCAGTGGGGGGTGGAATAGTGCCCCATCATTGGTGTCAGTGGGGGGGGGGGGGGGGGGGAGAATAGTGACCCATCGTCGGTGTCAGTGGGGGGGAGGAAAAGTGCCCCATCGTCGGTGTCAGTGGGAGGAATAATGCCCCATCATTGGTATCAGTGACACCAATGATGGGGCACTATTCCTCCCACTGACACTTGCTGACCCCTGTTCAGTATGGTGCTGCTGCAGCAAGCATATATGGTTGCAGCAGCACCTGTGCACGGCACACTTACCTTCACTTGATTTTCGCGTGGCCGCTCGGCCTTTCCGCCTCCTCCCCGGTGATTGGCCGCCTGTGTGCCTTTCCTGAGCTACAGTTCTGGCGGCCAATCACCGGTGAGGAGGCGGAGCCGAGCAGCCGCACGAATATCCAGTGGCCGAACTGAAGGAAGGAGCAGCTGCGCTTCCTGGACCGGATCGTCGTGGGGACCAGAGCCAGGTAAGAAACAGAAGCCCCTGCCCACCCCTGTACTTAGTTTCACTTCTGTTGGAAGGGGGGGGGGGGGCGGCGGCGGCACCGCACCGCCCCCCTAAAAAGTGTCAGCATGCCGTATACCGGCGTATAAGACGACCCCCGACTTTTGAGAAAGATTTTCAAGGGTCAAAAAGTCGTCTTATACGCCGGAAAATACGGTAATAATAATAAAAAAGTAAAAAAGAAAATGCATAAAAAAAAAACAAAAGCAAAAAAAAAAAATCACTAATACAAAAATGGAGGGGAATTTAGCAACTGTTTCTGGTTTGTTTTTGAAGATGAATGGGTGTCATTCTTTCCTTCCTTGACTGCCTAGTGTTCACATAAGGTGTCCGAACATGATATGAATCTCCTTGTTTGAGATCAGGGAATCACAGGGTAGTGAAGGATACGAATGACAGCCCTGTAGAATTCAATACAAAATAGTTCAACTTGAATGCTGGCCCCTCCAATGACACAAATGCCTTCCCTTTACCCCTCTGTAGCTCTGCTTGAAAGCAGGAAGCAAGCAAGCAGAAGTTAGGCCAGCTGGATTATCAGCAGTCAATTGCAGGTCACTAGTGCTGTGGGATTGAGTATCATACGCCTTACATATGCAATAATTCATTATTTGTATTTGCTCTCAGCAACTGAAATGTAGGGAAGGAACTTATTTCCTGTTAGCCAGGTTGCCGTTAAAATTAACCTGTTGCTTTGTCCTGCATCGGTAAGGCACAAATCTGCTGTAAAGTAGACACACCATTGTTTCAGGAGTAAAACATTTTTACAATATGTGTACAAAGTCAAAAGCACCAGTGGAATGGAATAAAAGTCAATCTTTAAAAAAATAAAAATAAATATATATATATATATATTATATTATATTACCTTGGTAGGAGGAGGCTTTAGAGGAGATATGGCAATTTTATTTGACGTCTGGGTTGTGGACTCTAGGGATGTCCCAGTGACTCCTCCACTTTCAGTGATAACTATTGGCTTGGACTGAGTTGCAGAATTAGCATGAGAAAGAACCTTGCCTATGAAAGAAAGGAAACATCTTGCATTGCAATGTGCCACAACACATAGAAAATCACTGCTGGCTGCAGTGGTGCATTGGGTTAGAAAAAAACTACTGCATGCACCTTTTTTGGTGCATTAGGCACCCCATTCAAATTAATATGCTCTAAAATTGACTGCCTTAATGAAACACACTTTAAAGTGATTGTAAAGTTGTTGTTTTTTCTTTATAACATGGTATACTTACCTGCTTTGTGCAATGTAATTGCAAAGAGCGGCCCCAACCCTCCTCTTCTGGGGTTCCCCACCAGCACTCCTGACGCTTCCTCTTCTGGGGTTCCCCACCAGCACTCCTGACGCTTCCTCTTCTGGGGTTCCCCACCAGCACTCCTGACGCTTCCTCTTCTCAATGTAACACCACAGGAAGTGACTTCCTATTGGGGCACACCTGCAGGCTCAACCCCAAGCCTGGTTGCTTGCGTCTATAGATAAACAGTGCAGTTCAGCCCTGCCCCTTCGTCACAGGATTTTACTGACAGCAGCGGGAGTCATTCGCAAAAGCCCTGTGACAGCGGGGAGAGCCGCTACAGACAGGTACAATGCTCGATTAAGTGAGGGAGTGTGGAGGCGATCAATTTGATGCAAATGTTAATAATATAATGATCCAAATATGCACAGTATAGTCTATCATTATATATTCACCGTGAATTCTTTTTTTTGGAGTCCATTGAGCCACACAGAAAATCTTTGACCTTCAAGGTTTACTGGCTTGTGCAGGAAAGTAGGACAATGGCAAACAAAAAGTTGTAGCATGCTGCCGAAGACAATATGAAAATGGGAACATATTACAAGAGGCTAGTAGAGATCATTGCTATTACCCTAATCAATGTTCCCACTACAGATTGCTGAGATCCAAGGGCCGCACATCATATACCAAATGGCTGCATGTGGCCTTCGGGCCACAGATTGGACACCAAGGCGATACACCCTCCTCACCCACTTCAGTCCCCATTGTACTTACTGTACCTGTGTGTGATGTGTTGTCATTTCCTATGCAGCCAGCGCAGTGGTCCAAGGTTTTAAAATTGTCACTGTTCTCCCTCTTCTTTGTGCAGGACTTCCATGGTGGATCAGAGTAATTCTGATTTGTCAACGTCAGCACAGAGCATCGCTCTGATCCGTCCTGGAAGTGTTGGAGAAAAAAAGGAGGTAGAAGAGCGAGGATTTCAAATCCTCAGACTGCTAGAACCAGCTGCGTGAGCACTGATAGCTCATTACCCACGGAGGCAAGTATAGCAGGGACTGGGAGCAAGGAGGGTGTATGATGTTAGTTCAGTTTTTCTGAAAAGTTGAACTAACTCTTTAGGCAAGAGATAGAAGGTTAACATTCTAATCTGAAAAAAATAACATTGAAAATATAGGCTTGATCAAACGGAGAGCCAAGCTATAACCTAACCTACCTACAAAAAGGGAAGACACCTCAGGAAGAGGGGGCGATGTAAAGGGCATTGCAATATCAGAGTAGTGTAAGAACAGGATTGTGATTTGAGAATCCGTTCAGATGTGCATATGCACGTTTATGGGCTGCCCTACCCTCAAAACTTCCAGGGTGGATCAGAGTAATTCTGATTGGTCAGCGTCAGCACACAGCATCGCTCTGATCCACCCTGGAAGTGCTGCAGAAAAAAAAGGAGAAGAGCGTGGATTTCAGATCCCCAGACTGCTATACCAGCTGTGTGAGCACTGATAGCTCATCACCCACGGAGGCAAGTACAGCAGGGAACAGGGGCAGGGAGGGCATAGGGTGTTAGTTCAGGTTTGTTTTGTTTTTTAAAGTTGAACTAACCATTTAGAGAAGAGATAAAAAGTTAACATTCTAATCTGAAAACTAGCATTGAAAAAATAAATTTGATTAAACTGAGAGCTCAACCTACCTGCAAGAAGGGAAGACACCTCAGCTGGATATCCTTCCCATGAATGAGCATCATAAAAATTACAGATTTAGAAATGCTCCTGACTCATCAAATTCAATGATCTGTTAAGAGCCCATGGGGCAACAGTAAGGAACCTCACCAGATTGGCAAAGTATATCTGCCTGAGTTAATCTATAGCAGGCATCACTAAACAGTGGACTACGGTCCAGATCTGCTGCAATCCTGCCCTGTAGGCATATATGTAAAAATGTGCCATAGATGCCTATGTTTGGGTGCTATTAAGAATTAAATGAACTTTCATGTTATAAGTTGCAAGTAAATACAGCTGGATAAAACAGAAACTGTGTCTGTCTACATGTCAGGGTGCAATGAAACAAAATGTCATTATTTTAAAGGAGTGTAATTCTTTTCTGTACCCACTGTAGATCTCACAGAGATACCAGAGCAATGCCTGTTACCGCTAGAAGATTCCTACACCTGGAGACAGATTTGTCCAGCATGCAGTTAAATGCAGATAGAGTGACTGCATCCAGCATTCTTCACCTGCAATACAGCTTCTAGCTCGCACTCTGGTGGATAGCTCCTCCATGTTGTGATGTAACTAATGGTGAAACCTGTCCACCCACTGTCCATAAATGAGATGAGCACAGTAAGCAAGACTTGAATGTGATGTCCTGCCCATGTCAAGATTTGAACTACACTTGTTGCAGCAAGATTTCCTGTTCCCATTTGATGATTAAGGTATGGCAGTGTCATGGCATTGTCAAACAGGATCCAGATCAGGTACGCTGTTGAAGGGATGACTCAACAATGCAGAAGGAACCACATCTCCTGAAACTCCATGATGTAGGCCAGGAAATAAGAGCTCTCTGATAGTAAAGGCCTCTGCGCCAGTGAGGTGCCTATACTTTCTCCCCAGTCCAATAGGCGGACTCCTAAGGATAGATCTTACAGAAGGTGTGGGAAGGGAAAACCTCTTCGACTCCAAAGCTGGAAGACTGATCCAACAGACCACAAACTATTTGATCCTCAAGGACTCAGTCAACTCGTCCCAAAACAAGAGTGTGGTGCTGACACAGTCTGGGAAGAGACTGGAGAAAAAAGGCTGCCTCCAAGACGGTTACGCACAGACTCGCAACTCTCATGCAGCAGCTCAGAGATGAAACTCTTAGACTGAAGGTCAAGGACATGACAGCATATACATTGAAGGGTTTCTTCGAAGAATTCTGATGGTCCAAGCTGCCTGCACGTGATGGTCCCCCCAGGCACATTCCAGCCCCAAATTCTGAAGATTCAGGATCCAAACGAATTGTTGAGACATCTGGACAATCAGACAGACATTGTTCAACAGATCCTGTGCAAACTGTTTTCTCTCCAGGAGGTCTAGAATTACATACTCTAAGTGCCAGTTCACATATATGTGGATTGGATGCAGTTAAAACTGGGTGACAGCTGAAATAACATTTCTTCCTATGGTGCCCCTTCACATATGTCCAATGCACTGGCAGTGCAGATTCAGTGCAGATTGAAAAATAGTACTGTACAATTTCTGAGCAGTGCGACCCGCTTCAGGTGTGGATTTTAGGCTATTGACTTCTATGGGAACCATTTCTGAACCGCACATGTCATCAGTTGTGATCAGTATAAAATCTTGACCTGAACCGCTGAACAACTACTGTGTCATTTAGCTGTGAATCCTGAGCTTCGATCTGCACTGCACATGTGTGAATCCACAGTAATAGTGTATAAATGAAAAGTGCTTGGCAGATCATTCCCTAGGCTTCTTACGCTGAGGCAGGTGGGTTTTCTTGTCTCCAGTGACACCCTTGATAATGATAATGATATCAAGGGTTATTAAGAAGAGGCACTGTCCCTCAAAAGTCACGTGGGTCACGTACTCTCTGGATGCAGGGTATGCAAATTAGCACTTTAACCAGAGTGCTCTGTGCATAAGATACCAATACCAGGGACATGCTGAGATGCTTTCAGCAGGCCCTACAGATGAAACGCTGAGCTTCAGCCATCTGCTCCACACACTCTATCAGCGAAGGATCCACTGCCATATTGAGAGAGCCCTTTTTAGATTTAGACTATTCTGCCGTGGTTAGAAAAATTACCGAAGAGCTCCGGAATGATGATTAAATCAATGCAATAGCCCTGTATAGTCAGTTAAGCAAAAGCCAGTGATATCATGTGTGTGAGGTGGATCAGTAGTGTACTACTCATAGGCTTCTGCAGTCCCTTTTTATTTTATGTTAGAACATTATACTATGTCTCCTCACAGTGTAATATCAGATGTGGATGTGATGACGGGCGCTTTCTCTGAGTTGTGTACGTCCTGGTCTGTCATTGAAAATGTGAGGTCATAGAAGGTGGGAAAAAATAGGAGTGTGCTGGCCCGTCCACCCAACTACACAGCACAATGGTTGGATCACCATCTGCAGTGTTCAGCAATGCGATTTTCCCCTGCCTTTACAAAAACCTACAGTGGCGATCGTACCAGACCGGTAGCTGCGGGGATAGAGGGCATATCAGCCACCAGTTTGGTGAACAGGATATCAAGGGGGCAGCGGGTTCTTCACTGAAGAATCCAAGATTTCTGACAAGCAGGTAGACTTTGGACTGTGCACTGTAAGACCAACAATTTTTTTAAAGCTACAGAGACAGACACACACACAAAACTATATCATAAAATTTCTTCCCCAAGTTTAGCTTTACAGTCACAGCCAGAAAGGGATGAAGGGCATGTTGATACTCAAGTTTCAGAGTGTTGTGAACTGCTTCAATAACAGTGGAAACTGTCTACTAATTCTAGAGTAGTAGCTGAAGACTGTAATTCTCAAGAGTAAAGCCAGCCATAGACAGTTCAAATCTCACCCGCAGTGTTTTTTCAGTGTCAAATACTCCTGTAGGCAGCAGTATAACCTTAACGTTAAAGACTTCCTGTGTCTCTGAATGGATGAGAAAGAAATCTGCTATTGACATAACGTGGCTCTACTTCTTGTTTTGCATATAATACCAATACTCGTGTTTAAAGGCCAAGTTCACCTTTTGTAGAAAATATCCTATACATTCAGAGGGTCCCAGAGCTATTTAAAATTTTGTGCAGCTTTGAAAAATGTTTATTCATTTTATTGTCATACCGGTAAAGCCATTTGAGCCCTCCTGGAAGCCTAGCTTAAACATTCTCAATTTGCAATCGCCATGTGCTCCCTTGTTGCTAGGACTTTGAAACCATTAGTGAGCGTCCAACAGTTTTCAGGTCCTAGTCACAAGGCAGGGAGTGGATATTGTTAACTGGGAGTTATTCACAAAATTAATGAACATTTTACAAAGCTGCACAGTTTGTCTGTTTTTTAATTAAACATTTTATAATTTTTAAAATAAATTTTCTTTTTTTCTTTACCTACATAAATATATTACATTTTATGCTTATATTATTATTATTATTTAAAAAAAAAAAACAAAACAAAAAGATGGAGTGCAGTATCTATGCTATTGCTTTATGTCCAATATCAAAAGGATATTTATTTTGTACAGGTTTTTTAAACAACTATGAAGGCCCCTTGACTGCATAGGCTATTTTCTGGAAACGGGGAACTTAGCCTTTAAATCGGAACTAAAGCCACTGATTTAACGGTTTCCCAAAAGAGTTAAATTCAAGGCATGCCACCAATGATAACTGTCATAGTTGACTGTGCTCTCAACCAAATGAACAAGCCATCAAATTCTGGTGTCATAACTGATCACATGTGCAGCACCATGGCAACTACAGATAGAACAGAGGCTAAGATGGCAGCTTCCTTGGCTATAAGAATAAGAGGGTTTGGTTCCACTTTAATACTGCTTCTTACAATGCAAGTTTAATGGACAAAATTACTAAAGGAGTTTTTACAATTGTGTGAATGTTCACGTCAAATATCCAGTAATGTGAAGATTCTCACTTGTTCAGTAAATCCACCTTTATGTGTTGGCCCTGTGTGGACAGCTTACCGCAACTGTTGTTAAGTAAGGAGTTTGAACAATACTAACTCTAATGCTGAGCTCAACTAGTGGTTATACAACTTTTACTACATTTTCTATACTGTATATGCAATATTTTAAAGTTAAAGAAATAAAAAAATCTTCCAATAAGGTGTCATCTGTCTAAGAGAGGATTTTCCTTAGCTGGGAAAGATTTCCTGCTACTTCCTGTTGTCTCAAATGATAAAGAGAAAAAAAAAAAAAAAAAAAAAGACAGGTTCTAACCCTACTCTACCGTAGTAGTGCAATAATAATATACTTTTAAATTTAATTTAAAAGAAGGTGATGCAACATATACAGGTGCAGGGAAAGCTACTGGCCCTTACCTGCAAACACAGATGATACTTGGGTAGTCTGCCCAGGTTTGCTGTTCAACGGTTTTGCAATGATCAGTTTGGTAATAACAGCACCAGAAGACGAAGCAGGAACTTTCTTAGCAATCTGAAAAACAATAAGTTGCCTGTGATATGAGCCCACTGGTATTGCACAGTGCACATTAAATAGGAATCTAATCCTTCTCCCATTTTTTTTTTTTTAATATTCCCTTCTTACCTGATGCTGGGTTCTGCATAGTTCAGATACTCACCCACCCAGAGGATCCATTGTTGTACTACTGAGATCCACTTCTCTGCAGCCACTCCTCTGGTCCCACGCTGCCATTTTCTCCTGTGACATCATCAGAAGGATTCTGGCTTTTCAAAGTTCAGGTGCTGCTTCTCAATGACATGCCACCCCCCCCCCCCACTCCTTTAACCTCCCTAGTGGTCTGATTATGTCCATATTTCTGTGCTCAAAGCAGTACATTTTTTTGCATGGAAATATGTATTTTTTGTATTGTAGGCTGTAATTTTTAGGAATAACTCACTGAAATCTGTCTAAACAAGAGTCTAGTAAACTTCTTGGGTATGTTAAAATTTGAAACACGAAATCATAAATTATAATTTAATAATCATAAAAAAATAATAATATTAAATTTAATTCAATAATATTTATTAAAACCAAAAACACTGAAATTTGAAATATAGCGCCAAGTTCAAACATCACTGAGCAAAGTCGCAAAATCGTTTTCAGTGTTGATGAATGATGAATTTCCCACGAATCATTATCACTCAATTCTGCAAGTGGTTCTGATTTACTATCGCTGTTCTCTAGCTGGTCTAAAACCGCTTTTGACCTAAAGGGACGCTTTTTGGACACCATGGTCGTTTCTCAGTTTCAAGGCAGAAAGAACATAAAAATGCAGGCAGGGCACAGGACAAAGCACTAGGGACAAAATGTATGTGAAATGGTTTGATACAGTAATGTTTTACTATATGATTTTAGTGAAATTAGTGAATGTCACTTTTTGTCATTTTCAAATTTCCCTCCGTTCCATCCCCCGTACGTCCCGACGTCGCAGGGGACTTAACCCAGAAGACAGATGCTGGCATCCACCGGAGGACATTACAGGGGACACTGCAGGAGGGGACATCGTGGGAGCGCAGGACAAGGTAAGAGAAGAACAGATCCCGGAGCAGCGCCGCATGGTAAGCCAACGTGTACCTCGGGGTTACCGCTTTGGGTACTGAAACTTTACCCCGACTACACTCGGGAATACCGCCAGGGAGGTTAATGAATGGAATGACATCCAGTGCACCCAATGCCTCCTGGGATTTGTGATTCACCTAAAAGTGACCCTGAACAACACCCTTATTTTTTAAAAATAATCCATACACATCCACTTATTAATGGCCCTGTAATCTATTTTTCATGGAACTGTTTCTTACTCTGCTTTTCTGCCTCCTTGTAACATTATTTATGAGCTCCCAAACCTCTCCTTTTCCCACTCACTTCCCTTTATTTGAAACAAGCAGTGAATGCAGAGAATCTTAATCCATGCCTCAACCCTACAGTATACAAACATCAGAAGCACAACATTTGGTATTAACACCTTCACTTTATAAGACATTACCTAGAAGACAAAGGAACCTATTTATGATGGTAAAAGAAATAACTAGCTGATGTTTCCTACTTGAAGTTAAGGCATCGCTGGCAAGCTTTGGGCCATGTAGGGGACAATGGGGAGAACTGATGACTGTTAGCACTTACACATGTGGATTTCAGCATAAAGACCAACAAATACAAGCTTTACTGATATGTAGAAGTGACCAAGCAACCTTACAGAAGCCAAGATCACTTCCACACTAAAGTGTTTACAGCTGCTTTAGGACTGTTTAACCCACTGGCATAAGGGTTAAAAGCACTTGCTCTTACATACCGTATTTTTCGCTCCATAAGACACACTTTTTTCCCCCCAAAAAAGGGGGGAAAATGTCAGTGTGTCTTATGGAGCGAATATAAAGTGGCCGGTCCGGTATTTCTGCCGCCACCATGTCAGAATAACGGGCCGGCCGCTCAGCTGTTCTCTGCTGCAGGGCCTTACCTGTTCCTCGCTCCAGCGCTGCAGTCTTCCCGCGCTGGCTTCTGTGACAGCCGGGTGCCCACTGCTGCGCGCTTTGTGAATGCTCCGGTGTCTTCTGGGACACATGACAGGTCCCAGAAGGCGCTGGGCCATTCACAAAGCGCAGCGCTTCTCGCGCATGCGCAGTGGGCACCCGGCTGTCACTGAAGCCGGCCCAGGAAGAAGAGGGAAGGACAACTCCGCGGAAGTGGGAGCGGGTACCTGTCAAATTCAGGTACCCGCTCCCCCTCCCTCCCCAAAGGTCAGCAGTCTCTGGTCATCCCCTGCACTGTCTGCAGTCTCTGGTCATTCCCTGCACTGTCTGCAGTCTCTGGTCATTCCCTGCACTGTCTGCAGTCTCTGGTCATCCCCTGCACTGTCTGCAGTCTCTGGTCATCCCCTGCACTGTCTGCAGCTCTGGTCATCCCCTGCACTGCAGTCTCTGGTCATTCCCTGCACTGTTCTCTGGTCATCTCCTGCACTGTGTCCGCAGTCTCTGGTCATCCCCTGTACTGTGTTCGCAGTCTCTGGTCATCTCCATCTCCTGCACTGTGTCCGCAGTCTCTGGTCATCTCCTGTACTGTGTCCGCAGTCTCTGGTCATCTCCTGTACTGTGTCCGCAGTCTCTGGTCATCTCCTGTACTGTGTCCGCAGTCTCTGGTCATCTCCTGTACTGTGTCCGCAGTCTCTGGTCATCTCCTGTACTGTGTCCGCAGTGTCTGGTCATCTCCTGCACTGTGTCCGCAGTCTCTGGTCATCTCCTGGTCATCTGTGTGTCCGCAGTCTCTGGTCATCTCCTGTACTGTGTCCGCAGTCTCTGGTCATCTCCTGTACTGTGTCCGCAGTCTCTGGTCATCTCCTGTTTGTGTCCGCAGTCTCTGGTCATCTCCTGTACTGTGTCCGCAGTCTCTGGTCATTCCCTGTACTGTGTCCGCAGTCTCTGTCATCTCCTGTACTGTGTCCGCAGTCTCTGGTCATCTCCTGTATTGTGTCCGCAGTCTCTGGTCATCTCCTGTACTGTGTCCGCAGTCTCTGGTCATTCCCTGTACTGTGTCCGCAGTCTCTGGTCATCTCCTGTACTGTGTCCGCAGTTGGTCATCTCCTGTATTGTGTCCGCAGTTTTGGTCATCTCCTGTACTGTGTCTGCAGTCTCTGGTCATCCCCTGTACTATGTCTGCAGTCCATTGGTTCAGAATATTTTTTTTTTTATGTTTTTCGCCTCTAAAACCTAGGTGCGTCTTATGGAGCGAAAAATACGGTAGTTTTTAAAGATTTATTGATATTGGGTGGGGGGGGTGGGGGTATTTAAACCAGAACTACTTTGCATCTGAGCAGCACAAACCAAAAACACTGTTCATTTTGAATATTCAAAGCAAATGTCCCTATTCATTTATGTCTCCATGATTTATTTTGCAAAGAAATCACTTTGAAAAACACCCCTCTAGCATTTCTGGCCACAGCCATCCTAAGTAAGGGCAGATTAACTTATTTCCTGGAATCCATCTGCCCTTAGCCCAGGCAGGAGTGTGTGCTTAGCTGAGAAAGCCCCTCCTTCCCTCCTGGAGACTCCTGGGAAGTATGACATCATGTGCCTAGGCACGGAAACCAGGAAGTAACGGAAGAAATGTAAAAAAAAAGTTTGCAACAATTAAATACAATGTACTTTTCTATCTATTTACTAATATTAGCAGCATAATGTTTAAAATAGTCAATGCTAATTGAGATAGTGAATTTCCGCTTTAAAGAGGATCTTCACCCTGTAAACAAAAATTTTAAAGTCAGCAGCTACAAATACTGCAGCTGCTGACGTTTAAAAAATAGACACTTACCTGTCCCAGGATCCAGCGCTGTCTTCACCTGGCCTGGCTCTTTGCTGGTCTTCGGGTCCAGAACATTTCCAGTTTGTTCACTCCAGCCAGGAAATACTGTTTAGGGCTTACGATCCCAGTTTATATTTAAATGGAAAATTCCAACACGCCTCAAATGGAAGGTGACCTTTGCTGGGGTTTCCGCCATCACTTCAAACACAAAAATAAATGACCTTTGCCTCCTGGCTGGCTCTTGCAGTGCAACTGCTCAGGCCTCAAGCCTCAGCCTTTTATCTGGTCCTGCAGACTGTTATACAGTACCACTGTGCTCATATACACCTCTTTAAAAAGGAACCCAGTGGTGCAGAGAATGAGGTAGCCCTGGTGCTCAGTTGGGCCAGCCTACTCACAGAGTGAGTCTTCAGAGATAGGGTAGGCATTGAGGCAATGCTCGTGGTTATGGACCTGGAAAGCATTACATGGTTAATTAGTTACCATAACAGTCTGGAAAGTGCCTATAGTGGAACCCTGAGTCCAAAGGCAATTTCCAGACTGGCCCCGTAACGTCCAGTCCAATAGAGTCCAGGTACAGCACTCCAAAGCCAGCCTGAAGAAAGGCCAATCCATAAAGCTACCATAAAGACCAGTTCAAGCACCAACATAGCGAGAACTTTTGAGTGAATAAAAAACAAAAAAAACTTGAGAAAATTTAAAAAAATTTAAAACTGTTAGAATTTCCCCATAATTTTTGTACACCTGTAGATGGAAGTGTAAATCAACAGAATTTGACTGTCCCTCAAAAAACAAGAAAGAAATAGCTTAATCATTAATATTACATTACATCGAGTTTATATAGCGCCAAAGGGTTTGCTCAGCGCTGTACAATAGAGGGGGACAATACATGAAACAGTACAGCAACTACAAACAGCACACGAGGGGTTAGAGGGCCCTACTCTTTCGAGCTTACAATCTAGGAGGGAGGGGGTAGTGGTACAGGAGGAAGTGGCTGTGGGGGATGGAGTGGTAGGAGGAATGAAGGAGAACGGCAGTTAGGTGAAGGTGGGGTATAAACTTTACCTGTACGTTCTGTACTTGCTGTGTCTGAAGAACAGAAGACTTGGCAGCGGAACTAATAAGTTGAGCAGAAGTTAATGAGGACATGCCCAGTACAGGCTTGACATCAGAACGGCTTCCAATAGTAACCAACTTGATCTGCTGTGGTGCTCCTTTGCCATCTACATGCTGGAGAGGAGTGGCTTTCTGTGTACCTGACACCTGATTTTGAGGAATCAGTACAATGGGATGGCTTGACTTCCCTATAGTTGTTACGATAAGCTTCTCCTGCTTCATAAATCTATTACCAGAGGTGACATCAGAAGCCTTATTAAGAAGCACTTGTCCAGACAACTGTGTGCCCAATTTATGTATGCCACTTTGTAGAACAGTTTTCATAGCTGTAGCAGAAGGTCCTGGGCTGGGCTTCGAAGCAACACTTACTACGGCCAGATGGCTGGCATGATTACTAGTGGTTGGAACAGTTTCCTTAGCAAAAGATGTACTAACGCATTCTCCACTGCTATTTACTTCTACTATTTCCTCCAGTTCTGTTTCCATAGGCACCTCCTCTGCAATGGGAGAGGAAATTGTAATGGCTTCAATGCTGTCGTCATCCATGTCTCACTTTCTAAGATGAGAAAGAAGGGTTTCTATTAGTGCCCAAAGCTTTAGGTCAGACAAATCTCCACCCCCTCCATACCTCAATCACTTGAAATGGAAAAAAACAGCAATATTTTATGTGAAAAACACATATTCATGTAATTGTGGATACTTAAAATGGTCAGCTTCAGCAAAGTGAAAGGAAAAAAAAAAAAAAAAAAAAAAAGAGAAGCAACCTAACCTTTCCCCTTTTTATCCAAAACTAAAAAAATGTGAGATAGACATACACATTCATTCTAGTTTTGTATTCATTAAAAATCTCTAAATTGAAAAAGAATTTTAAAAACACTAGTATGCATGTACTCAGTATTTAGATAATCCTTTCAGTCTCCTGTACTCCTATACTGTTCTTATATGTGGTAGCTGCATTTGTTTCCTTTTCTAAGAGTTTTTTTTTCTCTTTATTTTCACCTGGTGATCCAAGCAGTAAGTCTATTTTTTTCAACTTTGTGCAACAGACCAAGCTGTCTGCACAGGGGTGCTTACAATGATCAGCTTTTATTTATTTTTCCTTTTGTCCCAAAAGGAAAAAAAACTGTTGACAATGCTGCTGTTCGAAAGCATCTGTTTCTTCTACATGCAGAGTGGAGGACACCCTGAAACAGGAATGGTGTTACTGGCAAAATCAGCAGGTGAAAATAAATGAAGGAAAGATTATAAAAAGAAAACTAATGAAGCCATCATGTTTAAAATGGGACTGCACTGCATCGGAGTACCACAAACCAATGTGCTTTATAATTCATTTTTAACCACTTGCCTACAGGGCACTTTTATCCCCTTCCTGTCACGGCCAATTTTTAGCTTTCAAAGCTGTTGCACTTTGAATGACAATTGCGCAGTCAAGCAACACTTTACCCAAAAAAATTTTTATCATTTTTTCACACAAACAGAGCTTCCTTTTGGTGGTATTTAATCGCCAGTTTTGTTTTTTGTTTTTTTTTAGCACTATAAACAAAAAAAGAGCAAAAAATTTGAAAAAAAAAAACAAAACATTTTTCTATGCTTCTAGTATAACATTTTGCAAATAGGTAAATTTTCTCCTTTACTGATATGCATTGATGAAGCTGCACTGATGAGGCAGCTTTGGTGGAAATTGAAGAGGCACTGATATACAGCACTGCTGGGCACTTTAGGAGCTGCACTGAATCAGTGCAGATGTCCTCTGTGATACTTTCCGGTTATCGGCAGTACTTTCCTCACGTTCTGACAGCATGAGGAAAGTGCTACTGAAAACTGGCAACTGTATTTACTTTGTGATCAGCTGTGTCATTGGGCACAGCTGATCACATAGTAAAAGGCCGCTGTGATTGGCCTTTTGCCTTGTCATGTGATCACAGACAGCGCCGGGTGCGCGCCGCTGGGGGCACGTTCTAGGAGGAAGTCATAAGACGTCCTCTCAAAACTGGACAACCGCACTGTAGCTATCATTCGGCTATAGCCGGGTTGTAAAGTGGTTAATATTCGAAACAAACTCCTCCATCCATCCATGTTTCCATTATTTTGCGAAGAAATCATTTTGAAAAACACCTCCTGGCATTTCTGACTGTGGCCCTCTTGAGTAAGAGCAAATGATTCATGTAGCAGTTACTTCCTTGAATTCATCTGTCCTTAGCTGAGGCACTGGCTGAGCTGAGAACCTTCCCACCCCTCCTGAAGACTCCTGGAATGTATGACATTATTTGCCTAGGCATGGAAACCAGGAAGTAAATGAAGGAATGCAAAAAAAAAAAAAAAAAAAAAAAAAAGGTTAAAACAAGTAGTATACGTTCCTATTTATTTACTAGTGCTAGCAGCATAAGTATTAGAAATAGTCCATGTTGATTGAGAGAGTGAAGTTACGCTTCCAATAATTTATATATATATTTTTTTGTTTTGGATTTAACACTACTTTAAGATGACACATTTGCAAAATTTACTAAAATCTGTACCATCACCCCACCTAAGCAACACATTCATATTCTACTCATTCTGGAAGACTGTCAGACTACCCAGATGCTAGTATATGTTGTTCGTTTTGCCAGACCAAAATCTGACTGTGGATTTACAGCTGTAAGGAGCTACACTCTATGGGGGAGATTTACTAAAACTGGTGGACACAGAATCTGGTGCAGCTGTGCATAGTCAGCTTCTAATTTTGATTGAACTAGCTGAAGTGGATTGGTTACTATGCACAGCTGCCCCAGATTCTGAGTGTTTCAAATTTAGTGAATTGGGTTTTTATTTAGTGCAGTTAAAGTGACTTTGTATTGAGAGAAATATAAAAGTTTTTATCATTTGCCTTTTTCTGAACATTCTTGATGCTTGGCTGTTTTGTCATTTAGCTGGAACAGAGCCTCAAATGTAGCCCCCAATGTATCCAAAGGGTCCCATATAATATTATAAATAGTGCCACATAAAAGTGTCAGTCTTAAACCAAAAGCAAATATTTAATACATTAATTGCCACTAAACCGACTCTAAGATGTGGTGGTGGCTGCATTAGTTTTCATTTTTAGGTTTTCTGATGACTGAACCATGCTGAAGGAGACAATCAGAGACTAAGTACCTATTACATTAAAAGAGAAGAGCGGGATAGACAAAAAAAAAAATCATACTCACCTAGGTGGATGCAGCCAGGGGCGGACTGACCATTCGAGCACTAGGGCACTGCCTGAGGGCCCGAGGTCAGTAGGGGGCCCCATGAGATGCCCCTGGTACCTTTCATTGGCTTTTTCATAGGCTTTTTTGGGCGTTGGTGAGGACAAAGGGGCCCCATGATCCCCTATTGCCCGGGGGCTCCATGAGTTGTCAGTCCACCCCTGGATGCAGCATTAGTATGATGCTGCATCTGTCCCCCTTCGCTTCTAACACTGAGAACTGAGCTATTAAAGGCCTATAATCGCTCAGTTCTTGGTCTTCAGTGAGGAGAGAACTAGCGACTCTACCCTGCCCCTCCACTGCTCATTGGAGTGTGGAGGGGGTGGGAGTGGCTGGCTCAGGCTCTCAGCGGTGCACTGAAGAGGCTGAGCCAGCTGCTGATCCAGGCAGCTGGGTGGATCCTGACATTAAGTCCTCATGTACACTGGACGTTTTTACAGCTGCTGTTTTTGGCTTTTGACATTTTTTTCCACAGCCAGTAAACCCCCCAGCATGTTATCTTATGTGTTCATGCACAGACTGTAATCAACCTTCTTTGGCTAGAAAAAAACCCAGGACTAGTGAGTTTTTTAGCTGTAAAATGCTCTCACTGCCACAAACCGGCATTTTTGGACATTTTTTCTTTTATCAGAAAAATTTTTTTTTTTTGTAAAAAAAACCCACTGAAATACAAATGCAGATAAACGCTAAAAAACTCACGTTTTTAACATGACTTTACACAGCTAACGTTACCAGCGTTATCAAAACGTCCCGTGTGCATGAGAGCTAAAGCTGATATCCCTCCAGAGTCTGGACTGGCTGAGTGATGTCTTTAGCTTGCAATCGGCTGAATACAGGTCACAGAAGTGCAGTGAACTAAGTGGACGCCTGTGACCCAAAGGAGAAAAATAGCCAAGAGATTTGGCCCTACCTCTCCGTTAAACTATCAGGACTAGTTTGCATGGGCATGCTACAGCGGACAGCTTTGCAAGGGTCACATTCACATGCATGGGGACGCACAAGTTTTCCAAGCAACCCTAATCAGGCAGTCCCATTTATGTCAAGTGGGATAGTGACACAGCTGCTGCTCCAAATTTGACATCTGTGAAGGTGCATGACTCCTAACTCAAACAGTGTGCATTCAGGGCTGTCCACCCACACGGATGTCAAACTGGGAGCAGTGGTTGTGTCAGTGCAGTCGCTGCGTCCCAAATGACATGAACAGAACCACCTGTGCAACCCCTCGGCTGGTAAAGATGGCCCTTGCGTGGACACACGCCCATGTGAACGAGCCTTGAGAGACCACTGCTATTAAAAGCCCCTTTAAAAATCAACGCTCTTGCTACTGATGACTGGGACCCTCAGAGTGCACTTCAAACAAAAAAGGCTAGCAGGCTGAGAACTCCATATCTGTATACTTCTTTCAGATCAGCAACTCGGTATGCAGTGAACTCAAAGCATCAGAGTGACAGCCAGGGAACTAGCATTCCCAAAACACAAGGTTCGCAATCGCAGCCTCCGTTTTTTTCTCACAGTAGATCCCCTACATGTGAGCCTGTTGTTTGACATAGCGGAAGCCCTGGTTCACTTGAAGTGAACACTTTTGTCAGTTTAACCACAAGCCTTCAGGGCACTTATACCCCCTTCCTGCCCAGGCCAATTTCCAGCTTTCAGCGCTGTCACACCTTGAATGACAATTGCGCAGTCATGCAACACTGTACCTATATGAAAATTTTATCTTTTTTTGTGACAGATAGAGCTTTATTTTGGTGATATTTAATCACCTCTGGGATTTTTATTTTTTCTTAAACCAAAAACCACTGAAAATTTTGAAAAAAAAAAACATTTTTCTTAGTTTTTGTTATAAAATTTTCT